ACACCGACGATTTTGGTAGATTTTGTGTGGGTTAGCTGTAGGCATTGGTCAGAGGAATCTCGGACTACGCTGTGCGATGAGAACCGATGATGTCTTTATACGGTAATGCAGCCATCAATGAATCGCTGCTTTCACATGATCGACACTCACAGAACCTTCATTAGAATGATATTGATATGTAGTGCATTACTACAGTTGGTCATATCATCATGAGCCCGTGTATGTGCGTGTGCGTGTGTGTGTATGTATGTATGTGATACGTAGTGCATTACTACAGTTGGTCATATCATCATGAGCCCGTGTATGTGCGTGTGCGTGTGTGTGCGTGTGCGTGCGTGTGCGTGCGTGTGCGTGTGAGTGCGTGCGTGCGCTCTTGCTATTGTATGTAGAAAAGATGAAAATGTTACGTTTTAATAATGAAAACACCTAACGAAAAACATTCCCGTAATCTCGCTTATCATGCAGATAATAGTGGTATATATATATTCGCTCAATTCACCGTAATTGCAAGCTGTATTTTACATATTAATTTATTATATTATTATGTACGAATAAAACACTAGCTAGCTCGTCTGTGAAACATGCATTTGTTGATCATTACGTATTCAAGGAACGATAATCATGTGCAGTGCCCAAACACAATTTGATCGCCTTACATCTTACCGCAAAGTCAATTACTTTAATGAAGAAAAGTCAATTACTGACAAGCTATAGGCCGATTTTTTGAAAAATGGTAACAGGAATCTATCGAGAAAGCGGGCTGTAACAGCTCTAAATGATCGAGCCCGCAGTACGATGTACTTATTCACTGAGATGTAGTAATTGATCACCGTGATATTAATAATGAAGAGACAGACACTCTACACTATACGTGGTATGTATAGCAGGCTGCAGTGCTGCCCTTGGAGTCACCGCCACAGGCGGGTGTGGCCGTGAAGAAGAGACCGTGGGGATTTCCTGGCGCCGAGAAAAAAAACCTTAAAACGAATACGATTTAAATTTCTCCGATCTTTTAGCGTGGTAGACCTGGATTGCAATATGGCTCTCTCTCTCTCTCTCTCTCTCATTAGCGCTCATCGCTGTGAATCGCTCGCTGCCTGGCCCTGCTACAACCCTGCCACTGGCACATGCGTCTCCGAACATACACAGATGCATGCACTCAGCAAACAGCAGAGACCGTATTGCCACAGTATAAGCACTAGCCTGGGGTCACCACCGTGTGCATAGCGAAGACGCATACGGACTGATACATTTGTGCAAAGCTGGCCTCCCCTTACCCCACCCCACCCACCAACCAACGCTTTCTATTCCGCGTTACATTTCCACGTCACATCTTCGTGATAATTACACCACGATACTTTGACTCTCCGTTACGTTACATCTTCATCGTACAATCACCTCACAATTAATCTCTTACAATCACTCACCGCCACCATAACCGTAATCACCCTAAACCCTAACCTAATCTATCCCTAACGCTATATTATGTACACGCGGGGGTTCTAGATCCTAAAGTAGCTCAGCCACGCGTGTGACGCTCGGCGTGCGTGCGATGCACGCGCACACGGCAAATACATCAACACCACCCTCGGCATTTCACAGCAATTAAAACCCCGGTTAATTAATTAACGGAATATTTGCGAGATTATTGCTTAGAAATGCTCAATCCGAATAGAATATAGCGAAATATAGTCTCACCTCACAGCGGATATGTCACTGATTACACTAATTTGAAAACCACTATACGATTTTATGCAGTTATAGCATAGAAAATTAGATATGAACATATCGTAACACAACGAAAATATCATCGATTTGCGAGATTTATTAAATGTGTCAACTTTTAATTTTTACAGTGCTAACGAGATTGTGCGAGAGACGTATAAGTCTATTGACGATAGCTGGCGCCACTAACTGGTCCAAGATTACAAGAAAAGGCGGTGATAATCGAACGAGTTCGAAACTTGCACGTTTTAGTGAATACGAGGGTTCTAATACATTTTATCGTTACTCTAGGCAGTGGCTGGTACTCAAGCAATAACGATAGGTATAATAAAAGTGGGGAAAACACTAGATAATTCTCCAAATTATGGCTTTAATCATTACTCGCGTTGAATGACAACTGCCAACAGTCACCGCGTGCGCGCGCTTCAAAACATTTATATTTCTCGGTAAACTATCTACATCCTGTTCGGCGAAAAAGGGCGGGAACCTGACAGAAAGCTGAGCCGGTAGTCGCGGTGTGCAGTGTAGGTGCGTATAGGTGTTATAATTGTTGGACACGTTGCAGACGTGACTGCGCGTGTGCATGTTGATTCTCCCGCACCACTACCTCACACATCTCTACCGCTTCCCTAGCGAAGTTTTTTTTAGCGGTGACTAGTTTAGTTGCGGGATCTTTGCGCCCGCGAGCGGTATAAGCGGAGAAACTATCGACGCTGATAGCATATTATGCTAAATGATTTCAGATGAAGTGCCTTGATTATTTTTATACTTTTTTTTTCTAAACGCTGCGTTATTCACAATTTACGTTGCACACTGCTGTCACAACAGTTGCACACAGCTGGAGCCCCTCTTGTGCGAACACGATCAAAACTCCTGCCCAGTGCCTAAGTGGTTAATTTAGCATTTAGCGTTGAGATGCTTTTACATGCGTTCGAATTCAGGGCGGAAACGCACTTCAATTTTATTACACAATATCAAAAACTCTTCAACAATATCATCAGGAGTGTCATAATAATATATTATATCGTCTATATTATGACACTTCTGATATCATGTCACAAAACAGAGACGAAAGACTCGAATCTCGTCGTTGTGCCGTGGTGACAGAGAGCATCGGCAATATTAGATACCAGCACACGCCTTCCGGTACAACTTCCGGTTCCGCGATAGTTTTGGAATGTTCTGCATGCACACGCGCGCATGTCCGCACGCGCGCACAGACACGCACGCACACGCGCACACACATGCAGACATGTCTCTTACAGTATAGTCAAGGATGCTAACGGCGGTCTAAGTTTGATATGTAATGCAGTGCACTCAGGTGATGAGTGCATTACAGA